AAGATTTAAACTGGGTTTAAATCCTCCATCTGTCCAGCCACTCCATGCATCTGATGAAGAGAGCTGTGAGCTCACAAAAGCTGATGCCTTTTAATAAAATTTGTGAGTCGGAAAGGTGTTTCCAGACTCCTGATTTTTTACCACCATAAAGTAACATGGCTCTCCTCCTACAATGTCTAGCATTTTTTATCAGTAGCTATTAATTCATTTAATGTGAATATATTGTTTTGTCCTGGCTCTGGCCCTTTTTTAGGATATGAATTTTGGCACATGCATTTCTGCCCGGACACCAGTGTACCTCGTGCAAGAGGGGTTCCAGAGTTGGTTTCAGCTGGAATGGGCAACCTAGACTGACAGTTGGGGAAGCTGGCATTATCTAGGAGTGTGTCTCTGATATTTTCTGTCTACATTCGCTTTTGGGGAGGTATAATCTTAAATTCAGATTTATTTTTCTTTAAGCAAATATAATATTAGAGAGAAGTGCACAGAAACATATGTATAGTATTAATAATTCACATACAAATTATATTAGAGAAAGCTATTGGCAATAGTTATATATTTTCAAAATTCCTGTACCAGTGCATTATAACTACTCTGAGTAGTATACAGAGAGCAAGCACAGAATACAATTATACGTATTATGTGTACAAAGTGCAAATATTAAGAAAAATGAATTGAAAAACATGCTTTTTAATTATCAAACTAAAGTGGAAATAGGATTAATTACATTTAATAAATGAAAAGCTGAGAGATAAGATGTCCTATGCAGTTTTCATAGTTTCCTTCTCTTTCACATTTCCTTAATGGCCCAAGCGCAATCCCCCTGCCTTGAAAGAAGCAGCCATTCTTACCCATCAGTGACACCCACATTGATAATGCGGTTCCAAGGATGCTGAAGTACTGCAGGAGATCATACTTCATGAAACAGAGGACTGTTAACCCAGGGCCTTCGCAGGCATGGCAAATCTGTTGGGAAATGTTGCTTGTTTATTGCCAGGATTTCTGTGATAAAAAGTGTGATTTTAAAAAGCTGCATCAGAACCTTGTTGCTTAAAAGTCCATAAATCCTCCCCCCGCCCCCAATTACTTTAGCAGGAAATTCCAGTGGGTTGGTACCATTACAGAAAAGATTCTGACCATCTGTTGACCACAAGAGACAGCAGATAAAGGCTGTAGTCTCAGAAGATAGAGGTGAGCTTTAAGATTCTCTGTTATTTACGTCATTAAAAACCAAGACCAGTTCTTTGAACTGACCTAAAACTAAAATGGTAAACAATGCAGACAGTGCAGTGCTTGATTGCCATCCAGCTCCCTGCCTGGCCTGACTTTTTTTTTAATCCTTTAATTAGAAAAAATAAATAAATAAGAAGCTGGCCTGCTTCTGGGCCAATGGGCACCATAGGCATTCTTCAGAAATCAATACCTTGGTGTTTTCAGCCCAGTGTTTTGTTTGGAGGTGTGTAATCCACTCATATAAACAACAAAGATCCATTGAAGTAAGAAGTATGTGTGTGTAGGTGCTAAAAAGATGGCCAAGAGATCCTCACCGCTTTGCCTGGTGATAAATGGGTTTCATGACTGATTCCTGACCCATTCTCAAAATGTGCCCAATGGCCGATCAGTTCAGGAGCTGCCACTATAACTATTCTGCTCACTGAGAATCAGTGTGGCCAGAGACTCAGGGGTGCTCTGATGCTGGAGCTTGGCTGAGGCCTTACTAGTGTTCCCTTCAAGCATCCTGCTTGAAATCTGAATTCATCCTATAGTTAGAGTAATCCTAAATCAGGGTACTAAAGGGCCAGATCCTGAGTCTGCAAAACCTTCTCACTCCCTGTGTCCCACCCCACATGATCTCTGGATCTTGAGGCAGGAAAAAGTCTCTAGATGTTGGGATCTTCAGGAGAGGTGTCTTTGATGGTCCTGCTTCATGATCTGGATGAAACGTGATTTAGATGTTAAGGGGAAATGGCCTTGAGGCCCAGACCAATAAAAATCACAAAACATTCTCTCGTATGAGAGCAAAGGAAGGTCTACCTGCAGAGCTTCTGCGAAACATGATTTGCAAGTCCAGCTCAAGTGTGACTTAGGACACTGAGGGAGGTGCAGAAGGAGGAGGGAGACAGGGCTTCGCTGGCCACCCATTGGATGGGTGCTGGGTGGGCCAGGTGTTAGTGGGTGGAAGGCTGTCTCCTCAGGAACTGTGAAGAACGCCCCTATTCCTGCAAGAACTGCCTATGGGGTGATGGCAGTACAGTGCTTCTCCAGCTCATTACACCGGCTGGGGTGAGAACTATTGGCTGATGGCAGAGATGCTCAGTAAGGTTCAGGAAGAGCTGTAGGAAGCCTTGCAGAGGACTGACAGAACTCAGCAGCAGGCTTGGACCAGTGAGCTCTATCATGGATATCCCTGCCCCCCTTATTGGGGTCACCTGGGGAAGGTGGAGGAGATGTTTCAGGACAAGAGGTGGCTGAGGTGGCAATGCTTCCATCTCATGCCCAATGTGGGGAGAGAGAGCAACTTTGTCCCTTGTTCCCCTGTTTGAGGGAGGCAGTGGCTGCAGTCGAGCAGAGAATCGATAATGTGAAGCATGCAATTTCCAATTTCCCCATTGCTCAGATTCTCTGCGACCAGGTGGCATGGGCTTTGGCAGAGCCGGGACTGGCATTCCTCTCCTGGCAGTTGGTCATCTTGGGGCTCAGGCTATGCCAACTGGCAGACTTTCAGGGACTACAGTGGAGGAAGAGGAGGAAGGACAATCAGAGCAAGGTGGCTCACAGACTGCGGGAGACAACATGGCAGGGGTGGCCATGGCCGAGGTAGCAGACAGCAGCAGGGGGCAGAGAGAAAGAGACAAAAGCAGCAATGTTGACCTGTGGAACACAGGGGGCATGGCAGGGGGCCATGGACTACGGTGTGGTTGCCTCTTTTGTATGGGCTGCAAGTGCTTTGTCAGCTGCATCAACAGAGTAACGAGGCAGTGAAGGAGACAGCTGTTTGCATCTCTGCCAGACTGGTAAGCAGAGATGGACTTGGTTGGGAGGAAAGAAGCAGCAGTGTGGCTTCAACCGGACTGTTTGGGGAGGCAGAAAAGGAATATGATGGACAAGAGGAGGGTGCAGACTTTGGCCATGGCACAATGCAGGGGAATGCTGTGCAGAAACCATATGTTAAAAGTATCCACATTGCTTTAGAAACCTAAGAAAATGAACTTGGTGATAGTTTTGAGCACATTTGGGTTAAGATAAGTAAATGAAATAAAAACCTATCAATTTCCTGCCACCCACTGGTGGTGTTCCTTCTTGGAGGAGGAGAGAGAAACTCCTGCTTTGCTCCTTGAGTCTCCACCTCACAGTCAACTACTCTACTGCCTAAGTAGAACAGTGGACAAAATAAGGGAGTGACAGTCCCAAGATAAGAAAACAGGTGGTTGGGGAACACCTGGCTATTCTGAACCAGGGTAAGCCTCTAGGACTAGACCAACTGCATCCAAGAGCCTTGAAGGTGCTATGTTGTTTGAGAAAATATGGAGGATGGGGATCGTATTGGACAAGTGCAGGAGGATAAATATTCAAAAAGGGAGAGAAAAAGGACCAGCGCAACTACAGACAAGTCAACCACATGTGTATACTTGGCAAAACTCTGGAGAAGATTATTAAGTAATCAGAGTACCTTGATGGCTGCAAAACATTTGACAAATCCCTCAGTGGCTCATAGTGGAAAAGATGGCAAAATGTGGCTATACAACCATTACAAAGCTGGTTGAACCATCATACCCAAAAAGTATATCTCAGTGGCTTTGCATCAAGCTGGAAGGAGGTATCAGAGGGAGTATTACAGGGCACTGTTGTAGATCCTGTTCTGTTCAACAAATTCATAAATTATTTGGATGAAGGGAAAGAAAATATGATCATCAAATCTGCAAACAACACAAAACAGGAGGGAGAACAAAGACCTTAGAGGACAGTATCAAGATTCAGGAGGATCTTGGTAGGCTGGAACAGTGGACAGACACCTGCAAGTTGAATTTCAACGGGGACAAATACAAAGTCCTGCATTTGGGTTGGAAAAATCAACAATGTGAATTTAACCGGGGAGGGACATACTGGGAAGCAGTACATGCCAAAAAGAACTGGGTTTTTTGGTGGGTCACAAGCTGAATATAAGCCAACATTCTGATGCAGCTCAAAGCAAAGCAGATGCAAACCATTAATGGAAGTACAGTATCAAGGGTAAGGCTCATGATTCTTCTCTGTTCTATGATGGTCAGATTGCACTTAAACTGCCGTGCCCAGTTCTGGACTTTATATTTTGAGCAAAGGACAGTAACCAGGTTGATAAGGGGCCTAGAAGGAAAAACTAGTGAAGGACAGTTGGGAGTATTGGATGTGTTTGGACTAAAGAAGAGAAGACTGTGAGTAATCAAGTATTTGATGGCTGCCACGGGGAAGACAAAGTAGCCTTGTTCAGTGCAGTTCCAGGAGAGCACAGAGGAAACAAAGGATTTACATGACAAGGAAGCAGATTGTAGTTGGAAAACAGGAAGAATTTCCTAACAGTAAGTGTTGGTGGATTTTCTTTCAAAGAAAGTGTTCAAACAGAGTTTGGATGGCCATTTGTTGGAGACGCTGTAATAACAGATTTCTACACAAAGAAACTGGGTTGGACTAAATGATTTCCTAGATCCCTTCTAACCCTTGCATTCTATAATTCTATTCAACTTAATTTAATTAAGATATATTAATTATAATACAATTATAAAATTATAATGTATATTAATTTAAATTAAATTGTATAAGTCTTCTAAATAAATAAATGAGAGCCAGTTTGGGGTAGTGGTTAAGGCACTAGTCTAGAAACTGGGAGGCTGTAAGTTCTAGTCCACCTTAGGCACAAAGCCAGCTGGTTGACCTTGGGCCAGTCCCTCTCTCTCACCCCTAGGAAGGAGGCAATGGCAAACCACTTCCGAAAAAACCTTGCCAAGAAAACTGCAGGGACCTGTCTAGGCAGTTGCCAGGAGACAAAAACTGGCTCAAAGTCTGGCTAAATAAATAAATAAGCTGCCCAGTTCAAAACAACCCTGGGCAGCATACCATATTAAAAGCAGTAAAAAATTATCAAAAGATGAAATGATATAGAAGACTTGTCATGCCTCCACCACAAAAAGAGTACTGTTGAGGTCTCCAGCTCAAGGTCTGGGAGAACAACCAGCTTTTAAGGGTTTTTTCAAATAAGGTCAGGGTGGGAGCTGTACACGTCCCAAGGGGAAATGCTGTTCCAGAGGGTAGGAATAATAAGAGATAGCTTGCTTCCTGGGTCCCATCAGATGACATGGTTTCATCAACGGATCCCAGAGCATGCTAACTCTCTTGGGTCGAACAGGGTGGGTAGATAGATAGATAGATAGATAGATAGATAGATAGATAGATAGATAGATAGTAGCAACTCTGGGTTACTTATAACACATTAAAGAAACAATACAGCATCATGTAAATAACATCTGAGGAGCCAACAACTGAGGGATTGCAAACAGAACCCTACTGGTAACCGGTGCAACTCACATAGCAGAGGTGTTCCATGTGCATATTGTGACATGCCCATAACTGCTCAGGCCACCTCATTCTGGACCAGCTGCAGCTTTTGAGTGATCTTCAAGAGCAACCCCATGTAAGGTGCATTTCAGTAGTTCACATACAAGTGACCAAAGCATGAGCAACTGCCCAGAAGACCTCCTGGTCCAGAAAAGGACACAATTGGTGCATGGATCTGTTTTGTACTTTCCTGGCCATAGCTACCATCTGCTTCTCCAGCAGGAGCCATGAGTCCATGAAGATCCCCAAATTGCACACCAACACTATACACTCAAGTGGTATAGTGTTATCCCACCCAGGACTAATCTGGACCTCTGGATCCAGGATGTCCAAGTACCCATGGTGTAGAGAATCAGGGAGATGATCTTGATCCTGATAAGCAAGAATCACTAGATAACCATTAGATAAGGACTGAAACATTCCTTAAGCCTTGGGAGGGAGGGAAGGTAAAGCACAATCAGGCTTGCAAGGGTCTGTTATAACAGCCTATTTCAATAAAGTATAGATCCAGTCTTCCTGTGGAATCTGTTTCCTGATCTGGTCTACCCCATAGTGACTTGGTCTTGCCAGTGCTGAGCCTGAGCCTGTTCCTCCCCATCCAGACCCTCACAGCCTCCAGACACTGGGATATCTCACTGACAGCATCACTTGGCCTGCCCAGGACTGAGATCTACAGCTGGGGATCATCAGTATATTGGTGATACCTAACTCCAATCTGACAATTCACCTCATCCAGCATCTTCATGTAGATATTAAGTAGAAGGGGTAAAAGCTGACATGCCACCCATCAGGGGCCAAAAACCTCAAAAGCACAAAAAATGAATGAAATTCAGGAGCCAAGTGCATCAATTCCATCTTAACAACTGCAATGTAGGAATCTCATTGCAAGGATACTTGAGTTTGAAGTAGGCATCATAGGAAGGAACAAATTGCTTCCTACAGTTTCCATACAGGTTTTTAGAAATGTTTTTAAAACTCTGCGTGAGAGAGACAATATTTCTGTAAATTGGTTGGTGGATAGCACTGAATGTTTCTATGATTCTGGGGTAAAAAGAAGAAATGCTTGCCCTGAGTTGCAATTGCTTCTTGTGATGAACCATTTAAAATATTTCAACTTTGTTCCAGTGAAACATAGAACACTTCAGCTATTTAGACTTCTGTTTTTTCAGACTTTGGCCAACTCAGAACAGTCAAATGGAACATTCTAAGTTTACTGTGTTGCTCTTTTAACTGCCTTTTCACCCAGCAGTCCCAGTGAGCACTAGCTTCCACTCTGATGTGAGAAAGGAGCTAGTAATTGTTTGGGCAACTTGGCCCATTTGGGGCTTTAAACAGTCTGATTCTGGGTGAGATGTCTTTGAAAACTTGTGATTTTTTTTCTTGCCTTCTTCTCTTCTTTTACCTTGTCCCTCATGTCAGAAGTAACGTTAATTGCACTGTAGTTTGATCCAACTCCAAATGAAATGATCAAAGGTCTAGAAGAAGCACGTAGGAATGGGTATCTCATTACTAACAGTGGCAGAGGAAGAGACATCTTGTTACCTTTTCTCCCATCAACCTCCCAGGGCTTTGATTCTCCTGGGGAGATGCCATACTCCCATTGCTCTTTTACAGCCACCAGGAGTGGGTGGCCACTCAGAGGTAGGTCTTCTCCACAGCTGTCTGGTGGAATGCCTTCACTCTGCAGTAGACTCCTAGCTAGACATATTCTATTCAGGGCTTCTTATTTTTTTAAAAAATGAAATTCACTTTGATGTTTTTCCACTGAGAAGCTAACTTTAAAATAAGCTAATAAATAAATGATGATTAAACATTGGGAGGGCACATTTAATTTCTTGGTAAGGGGGATTTGTTGAAGCAATTCAAGCAAAAGATTGCTTCCTGACCCAGAGAGCCTGAACTTTAATGTTGCTATCCTTCATCATTATGTTTACTTAGAGATCAACATGGCTGAGACCTTTACTAAAAATCTGAGAAAAATGTAAATGCAAAGTGGGGAGGGAAGATTTGTGCTTCCCAGAAGCCATTCTTTGAGGTGGCCATTAGCTGGAGAACAGGAGTTCTGGAGGGCTGCAGAAGGAGACTCCTGGCAGTGGTGGGGCAACAGCAGGGCACCAGCTGTCCCTGCTCCCTCCATGGATCTGAATGCCATTAGTTTTTACCCTGCTTACATCTGTCCAAGAAGAAAAGTCTTCAAATGTAATAGAACATCCCCTTTAGGGGCCAGTCATGTCAGCAAAGAGGCTGGGCCTTGCAAGAGCAGGAGCCTCAGCTGTGAGGAGATCACCTTGGACACACCCTTGGCTTCCGATTTCACATCCGGATGAGGCTACCTTGTAAGGTGGTTGTAAAGATTATCACAGTAGGTTTGTGTATGAGATGCTGTGAACACTCTGTATCATTAAACCCCAAAAGGCAACACTTTCACATTGACAGAGGGCACTCATTGGTTTTGAGAGTTTTTTTCCCTAGTATGGAAAGGTTTCCTTTAGCCAGGCCATGTCTTCTGGTTCCTCAGAGTCTTCATCCAAGTTCAAGCCTGAGAGCATAATTAATCAGTGCTGCATGGACTATCTGGGAACAACTCCCCAGTTCTACTGCCAAGCTGCTGAGCAAACAGCATGGCTGTGCCCTTGAAATCATCCGGAGTCAAGCTGGACTCTAGGGAGATACTGTTGCCCACCTAACTATTTATTTTTACTTTTCCAGTTAGTGGGAGCTATTATCAACTTGTAAATGCACACCCATTTGCCTTTTTCTTCTGGCACAAAGAAAACTGTCAAAAAAAACCCTTATCAGAAAATGTGTTATTATACTTATTCCATTTTAGTAGATGTGATTGAAAAGAAGTTTTTAAGCAATATTTAAATTACAAACAGTTGAACTACATTCTTACCTCCTGGTTAAAAAAAACAACCAAACAAACATATCCAGGAACAATCTATTGCAAAATAGACCCAGAATATATATGTATGTATACATACATACATACATACATACATATATATTTTTTCAAGTGCAGCATATACCAAGGTGAGGCACTGTCCCCACTGCTGTTCTGCATAGGATTGAACCCCCTCAGCCAGATAAACACAAGGACTGGATACAGGTACAAGTTCAAGAGTGAAAGTACCATCAACCACCTCCTCTACGTGGGTGACATCAAGCTGTATGCTAAGAGTGAACGAGATATCGACTCACTGATCCACCTGACACGGATCTACAGTGAGGACATTGGGATGTCATTCAGACTGGAGAAGTGTAGTCGGATGGTAGTAAAGAGAGGGAAGGTAGTTAAGGCTGATGGGGTGGAACTATCAGTGGGCCACACTGCAGACATAGAGACCAGCTACAAGTACCTTGGTATCCCACAGTCACATGGGAACCACGATGAGGAGGCAAGGAAGACAGCAATATCCAAGTACCAAGTACCACCAAAGTATCCAAGTACCACCAAAGGATAAGACAGGTCCTGAAGAGCCAGCTCAATGGGAAGAACAAGATCCATGCCATCAACATGTACGCCCTGCCTGTTAAACAACTTGCTTTTTTCAGGATATGAAAGGCGAAGGTCCCTAGCTGGACTGCAACTTGGTTCAGAATCGTATCTGGGATATCACATTATCTCCTCTCCAGAACTTAGCCCCAGTTGTCTGCTACAACAGAAAGAGCAAGCCTAAGAAGTGCATTGTGATGGGTGGCACCCAAATGTGTGATGTGTTGCGGGAAGGAGATACAGAGGAGGAAAAGCATGGCGACATTACCTACGCTATTTTCATGCAAGAATATGAACCCAGCAAGTTTCTCACCCCCCCCTTTTTTTATAATGAGAATTCGTATTTAAAAATGTTAGTGGAAACCAGGGAGACAGAGTAGAAGTGAGAAGGAGGACTTACCGAGATAAAGAACATGGTGAAGAAGTAAACCATCGCCTCCATGTGAAACTGCCGCTTGGCTGCGATGCTGATGGTTGGGAGAAAAGCTAGGCTGCTGATGGTGGGCAGGAGGAGCTTGGCAGCTAAAGAGCCCATTGGAAGAAGGGGAGGCAGCTCAGAGGAAGAGGAGCTCCTGCCCCCTCTCAGGGCTGTCCGAGAGACTGAGGAACAAGCGGTAGAGCCCCAAGCCACAGTCCTTGGGGCTGTGCTGGGGAGACAGCAGCTGGGGCAAAAGAGAGAGGACTTGCATTCCTCTGGGGAGCGTCTGCTCTGTCCTTTGATGGAGAACAGCTGCTGGAAGGCCACAGGTGCTCCTAGTTCTTGGGTTCCACTTGAACAAATGGCCCCTTCCATCTCCCAGGAGGCCTCTCCTTTGGAACTAGCTGTCTTAGGAATAACCCTGCAGAAGGGCAAATGGGGAGAAAGAGGAGAAGAAGGAGATCATGCTCTGGTCACCCATCCTCATCAACTGGACCATTTGGAATGAAATGCTCCCTGTTATGGCAGATGGGTGGGGAAGTAAAGGTTTGGTATTTTTCAGGACCCTCATGGATGAGACCTTGCCAATTGCCCACTTGATGATGCTGGCCCAGTGCAGAAGGCTATTTTATCTGCATAGGCCTTGAGTAGACTGGCAGAAGCCATAGATGTGGTACTCCCCCAAAGGAAAATTCCAAGGAGATTTTGAGAAGGGTTGCTGAAGACTAGATACGTGCTCCCAGCTGTCTGTCCCCAAAGTACAGTGTTGGGGAGCCATTTCTTCACTGCCCATGTCACAGCTGTTTCCTGGCCTCCTTAGTTGCCTGCTGCTGGGCACAGAGAAGTTCCAGTCTGTATCCTATGTAAGGAAGTGTAAAGTGTAAGTAAAACGCAATTAAAACATATTTCAATATAATGGCATAAAGACAACCCCTTTATTTTTTCTTTCTTTCTTTATCAAATTTGTACACCACCTGACTCCCAACGACTCCCATCTTAAAACAATAGCTATGTAATAGAAAACATAAAAAGACTAAATTACAAAAGGGGGGGCCTTTTCTGAGGGTTGCGGCTGGAATGGAAATGTGCAGATGCTTCCCACATACCCACGAGAGCCGGAGGCATCTTCAGAAGGGTTTCCCTGGGGACCTCAGCGTTTGCTCAGACCAAGCCAGGCTGGCTGAGTTCTGGGAAGCACGGCTGGGAGAATCGGGAAACATCTCAGGCCATATTTTCAGTGCTACTTTCCGCTTCTGCTCCTTGCTCTCTGCCTTCCTGTGACTTCTTCCAAGGCGCATTACACAAAAACCACACCGCACCATTCATTACAGTGTATGTTTCTTTGTATATTTTTCCGTGGGACATTAAGGTGCTATCTGTAATTTTTCTTTCTGTCATAAAGGAATGTTTACATTTTCTCATTTTTTAAAAAATAAAGATGGATTCTGTCAAATTCAGTCACTGTGAGGTTGATTTCCCAGCCACACATTTCAATGCACAGGGCCAGGAGGGTGGCACTATAGAACGCTTCTCTTTGATCCCTTTGTATTTTCCTTCTTTTTGCATTTCCTTCCTTCTACCCTTTGGCTTGCCAGCCTGGTCTGTGGGTCTGCTCTGCCACTGGGGGTTGGGGGAGAATGTCAGGGCAGGCAGCCCCCTTGGAAGATAGGTGGTGACAGCAGAAACTGCAGCCCCAAGAGACAAAGAGGTGGCCAGAGGCGTTGACCCACAAGGTCTCTGGGAGAGGAGTTAGGGTTACCCATGAATTTGTGGAATTGTGTCTCCTTCCCCCTCAGAGCAGTTGGTGTGTTATTTAAAGATCATGTGTCCCCCCTCCATGATTTCCATTGTTTCAGTTTATGCATCTTGTTGGTGGCACATGGAAGTTATAAGATGAGTCATAGATTCCTAAAAAGTAAGAGTTGGGATGGGCCTTGGAGACTATCCAGTCCCACGTCCTGCCCAGTGCAGGAATTGCTAAAACATCCCTGACAGATGGGTCTCCAGACTCTGGGAGGAAGTCAGTCTTATTGCTGAACAGCTCCTACTCATAGGAAATTCTTCCTGAAATCCAACCAAAATCCACTTTGTTGTGATTTAAATCCAAAGTTTCTTATCCTGGAATAACTGTAAACAAATTTGCCCCGTCTTCTGTGTGGCAGTTCCTCAGATCCATAAGGACTGCTATCATGTCTCCCTGCAGTCCACCCAGCACATCCAATACTTCCTCTTAAGCTTTTCTTCCAGCCATCTTGCTTGCTCAATTATTCTACTCTGAACGCAGTTGACGAACTGCAGTCTGACCAACGCAGATCACGTTCAGAGGGACAACAATCTCATCTCATCTTGACATTATGCTTCTGTTAATGCAGCCTTGAACTGCATTTGTTTTTTTTGTTTCTGTTTTTGCAGCTGCATCACACTGTTGACTATTGTTCAGCTTGTGATCCACCAAGACACCTAAATCTTTTTCACATGTATTATTGCTCAGTAATTTCAGTCCCCATCCAGCTGAAAAAATGGATAATGGTTTGCAAAACTTTATTAGATCAGTACATCTGCACATGACTCTGCCATCAGGAAAAAAGATGCTTCCCCTCTTCAGCAAATGGTTTTTAGATATAAGGTGGATGCAAAACTGAAAGGATCAAGTCTGTTTATGGAGGACTTCATGAGAATCTTGCTTTAGGCTGCCAGGAACTTGACATGTCCCATCCTAGACTCATGCCTTTGATTTATTTCATTTGCCCCTGTTGAAATTCATCTTGCTGGCTTCTGCCCATGATTCCAACCTGTCATGATTTTCCTGCATCTTGATACTGCCTTCTAAGGTGTTTGCTATTTCCCACATGTTTTTGCCATCTGCAGATTTGACAATTATATGGTCCATTTCCTTGTCCAAATTATTTATAAATAAGCTGAATACCACAAGGCCTAGAATGGAGGCCTCCGTACACTCAGCAGTAAACGCTTCCTGCCAGCTCTAAAGCCATTAATATGCACTTATTGGGTATAATTGTTGAACCAGTTTTGTATCCAATGGTAGCATCAGGCAGACTTTATTTTGTCATGTTGTCTATCAAGACCTCAATGGGAGACTTTTTCAAATGGGTTAGGGTTATGTTGAGTCCTATCACAAAATGCATTATTTTCCAAATGCTCACAAACTGACTGTTTAATACTCTGTTCCAGAGTTTTCTGCTTAGTATCAGCATCAAACTGATTGGGTAATAATTGAGTGTAATTACCTGGGTCTTCTTTCAAGTTAGGAACATTTGTCCTTCTTGAATCCTCTGGCACTATACCCTGGCTGCCTCATGGCTTGACTACTGTAATGTGCTGTACATGGGCCTGCCCTTGAAGCCCACCAGAAGCTTCAACTGGTCCAGAATGTGGCAGTGCAGGCAGTGATGGGCATGTCTCAGGATACCCATGTAATACCTCTGCTTTGCAAGCTGCATTGCTTGCTACTTTGCTTCTGGGTGTGATTCAGTGTGCTGGTCATTACCTACAAAGCCCTCCATGGCATAGGGCCTGGTTACTTGAGGGACCACCTGTCTCCCATAGTATCTGCCTGGACAATTTCATCTGGCAGGGTTAGCATGCTCCAGGTTCCTTCAATTAAGCAATGCCATCCATTGGGACTCCAGAAGCACACCTCTGTAGCAGCACCTGCCCTCTGGAATGAGGTTCCCCCCAATATCTGAATGGCCTCCACCTGTTGGTGTTTCAAAGGGCCCTGAAGTCCTGGCTCTTCACCCTGACTTTTGGCGAGGATGATGGAATCCTCCTTTTAGACTATGTGGGGTTTTTTTGCTTGTTCCCATCTGGTTTTCTTGTCCTACTTTGATCCTTACCCTTCTTTTTGTCTCTTGTTGTTTTTCTTGTTTTTAATATTTTAAACAATTTGTAAGCTGCCCAGTGTCCCTGGGAGTCAAGTGGCACATGAATTTAATAAATCATCATCATCATCATCCCTGTCCTTCATGATCTCTCAAAGATCATAGAAAGAGGCTCTGAGATAAGATCTATGAGCTTCTTCAAGACGTGGATTCAAGACATGGATTGGTCTTGTCGTGGAGACTTAAACTCATTCCCAGGAGCCGGGCGCTCCCTCCCCACCTGGTTCCTCATTTTGGGTTGCCTCCCCCCTCCTTTTAATCAATTGTTCTATTAGGCTCTTTTAAACAGGTGTCTCCTTTGGGGAGAAGACCAAAGCAAATTAGGACTTAAGAAGCCCTGTCTTCTCTCCACCACTTACTATCTTGTTGTCCACTCCTAGTGGTGGGATAATTAATCCCTTTCTTTTTCTACCAAGTGCTTTTGGGGTCCTTTAGCTTCCCTTGTGAGCCTGTTCCTTTCTTTCTCAGATATTAGCTACTTGCTAGTACACTGTCAGCCTTACCAGGTAGCTCAGACAGGAAACCACGACCATTGTAAAGCTACATTGACAGAATCTTGCAAGTCTGAAAGCACAATTCCCTCCCCATCTCCTTTACAGCCCAAGAAACTAGGGAGGGTCCCTTCTGAGCCTCTTGTACTTCCCGCTATCCAGCTGCGGGATATGCTGTCTCTTATCTGACCGTTCCCTAGGTGGCATCTCTTTGCCCCATCTCCCAAGGTCTTTCCCATATACCCTTATACACGCCTTATTGATTGCATTCAACTTCCATTTCCTATACATATCTTTCTCACTCTTAATTCAGTTCAAAGTTCTCTATTCATCTGCAATGGTTTTCAGAAGTTCTCATTTTATTTCTTCAATTGAATTGCTGTGATTATATTTCCAATATCTTATTTTTGAGATCTCCTCCACCCTCTTTGACATGGGACCTCACCTACTATTTTTCCTAGCTTGTTGAAATTGGCTTTCCTGAAATGTCATATGCATGTCTGACTTTGTTCTAGTGTCACTTCCTGTCATTGCAGCTTTCGGTTCCCAGTCCTCTCCCGCTCCACTTGCTTCCTTCTTTTCAGGGCAGAGGCAGAAACGGTCCCTCTGGGGAGCCTGTCCTGTCCTCTTCCGCAGAGCCTGAGGGTTGGGGCAGCGGCTCTACATCCAAGGGCCCAGAAACACGAGCGCGGGGCTTTGGAACCTCTTCTGATGCCCATCTTGT